TTTTTTTTTTTCCTCCCTTAAAAAGCATTAGAACACCGGAGATAAAATCCAAAACATGCTCAAATGTACACACATCTCCACACATAAACACAAAATAACACTCGAAAGACAAGTTCTTTCAGTTTTGAATACCTCCACTCTTGTATCAAAACTCATTTTCGCATTCGGAGTGAAACAGATTTTGAGATCAGCATGGCCTCCCACAGGTATGACGCCTTCAGAAGGGCTGATCATCATTCCAGCCAGCGGGTTTGAATCAAGAACCTTCAAGTACTGGGGTATTTGTTTTTTAAAAAATGCCAATATAACTATGCTGAAGATCTTATATTCTCACAAGCAGAATCCTCATAATATATAACGTTAACCCAGACTTAGAAGTCTGGGGCAAAAATACAGGTAAACAAAATAAAGTTACAGATTGATTCCTAAACATAATGACTGTCAGTTTCTACTATGAAATAAATTCTTGCACACCAGCTGGAAATTTCACATTCTGGTTTTCAGGTTGTTTTCATGAAGTTATGAAACCTAAGACTTGCTATCCAGCAAGTCTCCAGAATGTTCTACAAACCTTTTTTTCAATTACAGATAAATTCACCATTTCTTTTTTGACATTCACAGTGAGAAGACGGAACACAGGATCCTAATACTGTAAAGTCAGTAATAACACTAGGAGTAAATATTCAGTTTACCCACAATTAATAACGATGAAATAGAATCTGTTCTCTTCAAATGCACTCCAAACAGATAACTTTTTAAAGTATAGCTACACAAGTGATAGTGACCAAGGCTCATCAGACATCTCCTGTCTTAAGAGTAAAGGTGGAGGCTTGAAAGGCTGGGTATGTTTGTTTATTTGTCTTACTGATTATGCTAATTTGATTCTTTCAGGCTCATCCTCCAAGAGTGTAGTAATAATACTTGTTATTACAATGCCCAGAGAAATATGGTACAAATCAAAATTGATCAATCAAGTTTCTTAGTACCATAATAATGTAATAGCAAAAATTCTGAGGATTTTAATGAAAGTTATTTTGCTTCCCTAAATAAATACAACAAATTATTCTGTGATCAGGACAACTAATGAGGTTAGGTTTCCTACTGATTCATGTCATATGTCCTTACCCCTCTGGCATCCATCTCATCTCTTATCCAATGCACAGTCTTCCTCTCAGATGTTGGTCTAGCAAAGTAATCACATTTGCTATGACTGATCTGGGTCTATGCATGCCCTGACTGGGCAGGCAGTATGAATAGGATGACTAGCCAGTTTGCTCTAACTCACAAAATATAAAAACATCCAAGCTGTAACTGCTTTTGCATAAGGTACAGCAGTATGGGGTTCTACCCTTACCACTGGTTCTCATGAAACTTCCAGAATCTTTTAGACCATTAGCGCTTTGCTTGTCTGTCGGTCTATCTATCCATCAATCCAGGTTTGACAGAGGGACAGAATACCTACCAACACAAATCTTGTTTCTTCAGAAAACCAGACAAAAACATAAGTACATGTACATCAAATAACCAAGAGAACAAAACTGTAACATGATCTGGTAAAATGAACTCCCTTCTTCCTCCCCACCCCAAGAAATTAAATATCCTGAGAATAATTTTGGCTTACTTGGAAGTACGCATGATTGTATCCTATGTTTTGAAGAACAGCTGTCTTACAAGTAGATAAACCCATTGGGCTATGACTGAAGGGTATCCTTTGTTCCATAAACTTAACTTCGGTAGTACCAAGCTATAAAAAAAAAGAAAACAAGCAAACTAAATAACATATTATAAAGTATAAATAAATAATTCAGTCTAATTTTCTTTTCATTACACAATGAGCAAATACACTTGTGGAAATGCATAAATTAGAAATATCCAAATAGACAAACACAGATTAAATGTGACACAAGGTTTACTCAACATATTGAGCTTATCTAGATTCGAAGTGAACATACATAACACCAGAGATATTTTTGGGCTAATATCAAGATTAAAATATTTTAATTAAATTTAATTTAAAAAAAAAAAATCATGGTGCTTGTGCTGTTAATCCTAAACGTGTGATCAGGACAAGATACTTCAGAGATTTTAACCACAGTAGAAATACTAATATTCTAATTTACACACATCGTGGTTTACATGTGGCAATCTCCAAGGCTTCAAAAGAAGAGGAAGAAAAGAAAAAAAGGTACTGAGGAAACAAATAAGAGAGAAACCAGGCACAAAAGGAAGGGAAAAGTTTTCTTGGCTCCCAAAATGGAAGTTCTAGAGCATGCAGCCAGTAGAATCTAGTGAAAAATGAAGTCTGTCTCCTTCATACTCCCTGGCATGTAACATAAGATAACAAATGATTAACCTAAACTGAATTTCACTGTTTAGTAGACTATTCAGAACATTGCTTTTCAAATTATCAAATACCATGTCCAAATAACATACAAAATTACGCGACAGCCTCTTGTTACCCTGCAGCTCTGAAACACCTTCCCACACATCCCTTGATTTTTATCCCTTTGATATATATCTAAAGAACTAACACACCACCTCTCAACAGTTGTTTGGCTAAACTAAGCAAGCCAAGAAGAACAATTACCACTTAATATATATGGACCGCTAAGTTGTGGTGCCAAAGGAAGTATATCATCTAAAGCAAGAAAAAGGCGAATTGTCTTTGTCTTGCCTTCTCCGTCATGTCTTTGGAGCAATATCCTTTTGTTAAACATGTCACATAGGAGCCATATGAAATTATAATAATTTTTGTGTACATGATAAAAGAAATATGTTTAAGAAATTGTCAAAGAAACCCACACATTTTGCTTCTCTAATTCTGCTGTATGAATTGTTACCTTGGCAAGACATTTCAACTTTATTGTGTTTCCTTTATGCACGCACAAGTTGAATTCTCCTTCTTCTGGAGAGTTGAACCCTGGATGCCAAACAACTTCACACTCCAGATCTCTATAGGCCTCTACCAAACCTAAATAAATGTGCGTAATTTACACATTACAGCATGCACATGCACAATTATCAAATTACATTGTATAATTAGAAATAACATAGGCATATTAAAGTGAAATGACCTTCTATTATTGAAGACTAAGCCTACATTTCAAAGGTTTTGAGAAGTATGATGAATTAAGCAAAATTAGTTTCTGAATTCTCACTACGATTGCACAATCTGTTTATTAGTATCCTGCACTAAAACACACTCCAAGTTAACTGGTATTTTTTAGCCATAAATTACTCAAATAATCAACACTTAAAAAAATAAAAGAACAGACTATCCTTCTTGTAGAATAACTACTATGGGAAAGACCATATATATTTTCTTGTTTGCAGTTGAGTCTGAACTCTTATCAGCAGAAATATCAGCAGAGCACACCCAGATCCTGATCCAGTCAAATCTCGTTTAAACTGTGTAATGCCAATTCAGTTAGCAGTTAGTTCTTTAATAACAGATCTCCAACATACTCCTGCAGAACACTATCTTTCAAAGGAAAGAAGGTAAAACCTAATGTCTCACACACTTGTAACAAACATTGATCCATAATGCAAGTGGAAACTAGTCCCAGACTGAACTCTATTTGTGTCACTCAGACTGTCTACACCAACTTCTTAGCAGCTTCATTCATACAGCGCTTTTGGAAAATTTCCTATCCTGATGAGCTGTATGATATTTCTAACTGCCATTAAATAGCTGCCTCGCTTTTGAAATATCAGTAATCTGTGCTGAGAAAAATGGTTACGTAGGCTCTGCTGGCTGGACACAGAAACAACAAGCTGGACAGCGTACATGCTCAGGGTAAGGCTTATACAGGGGGTGCTGCTGTGGCATTAACACTCTGATCTGATACTACTTTGGGATATACTATTATGGACCCAAATCTAAAATATACAGTTTATAGCATCAGCTGAATGTTTGTCTTATTTAATATTACTGACATTTTTATTATGTGTACACACACTGTACTTGCATAGTATACCTTTGGCTGGCTGTATAGAAAATGCAGTTCCTCTATCTGTAATTATAGGCTTCCAGGTAAATTCAGCAGGGTGGTTTTTGGGGTTG